TATATAATTTAGCAGTATGTCATTAGTTCACACAAAGTAGACATGATTTTTCAGGAATTCCATTTGAACATCAAAAAGATTCACTTTCCTTTCCTAGCCCTCTATCATAATAATTTTATTCCCATTACATGGAATGGTACAAGACACTAAAATCTTCTGTTTTCCTAAGGGTCTCCATTTCAGAAAGTACATTTAAAAAATGTTTAAAATGTCAATAATAAGGGCTGGAGATATGGCTCAGCGATTAAGAGCACCGTCTGCTCTTGCAAAGGACCAGGTTTGATTCCCAGCACCACATTGCAGCTAACAACTGTCCATAACCCCTGTTCCAGGGGCTCCAGCACCCTCTTCTGACCTCTGTGGGAATTGCATGACATGAGTGAATGCTCTTACATACATGCAAGCGATACATTCATACACATAAAATAAATATATTAACTAAAATATTTAAAATGTCAGTAGTAGAATAGATGAAAATATTACAGATAAAATATAGTAAACAGTTTTAAAAACAAACACCGTACCAATACATAAATTCCACTGTTCGAGTGATGTTTAGCCATAAAACACCGTATTCCTCTTTGATTTGAGCCACTGGTTTGTACTGGTATTACCATAACTTTTCATATACTAACAACATATATATACAGTACAAAGTTAAATATTTTATATACATTTGAGACTGGGTCTCCCTGTAGTCCCATCTGACCTGGAACTCACTATGTAGACCAGGCTGACCTTGATCTCATAGAGATCCGCCTGCCTCCGCTCTCTTAGTGCAGGGATTAAAGGTGTACACCACCATGCCTGGCTGCTTTTATAAATATTTATGTGTAGATACTCATATTTGTAGCTATATATGTATATATGTGTAGTCACATGTATCATTTACATATTCCTAGTGATTCTGTCTTCCATTTTCAGGCCATCAAACCTTCCTGTTGAGACGGTTATTTTAGTGTAATTTTGATAGCCAGTCTGTAAATCCCAAGTGCTGGATGTTTTGGTTCATAATTCAATAACGTCCTAGATGAAAGTGCCCTGAAAACGTGCAGTGTACCTCTCTTACATGTTCCATGCACTGCTGTTTTCCAGGTTGCGGCTGAGCTTGGAGCTCTCTGTCATTCAGCAGCCAAAGCCAGCATTGCCCTGGTGATTACTACAGTTCCCCATCAAACTGTTATTTTCTTTAAAGTATTTGATTTCCAGAAATGCAATGGCTTATTACTGAACAGCAAATGCATGTAAGAAATGTTTAGTCCAGTGTTTCCAATATATTGTTATGCTATTAACTTACTGTGATAGCTAACACCAGAAAATACAAACTGCCCTGCTTTGTATTTAACTAAAAGATACCAAGAACTAGTCAAATTCTTATCTGGTAGAAAAAAAAATTGCCCTATTGAGGGGAAACAAACAAACAAACAAACAAAAAACAGAAAAACACGTACGTTTGTTTGTTTGTTTGTTTGTTTGTTTGTTTTTGTTTCTGGGACAGTCCATCTTTGGCAAAACACAAAAGTCTCAAAATAACATAGTTTTTTCCCCCACAATAAATCTAAAATTAGTGAGTCATTTTCAATCTATAATGGTCTTTTTTTTTTCAAAAAGTAACCTCTAATTTAATAAGATGAGGATATAAACGTGAACTTATTTAATGAAAATGATCTAATAAATATGTTAAGAACATGTAGCTATTCATTCACATTCTAAGGGAAAATACTTTTAGTCTCAAATTTTCCATGGCACTTACTATTTCAAACTCTGTTTTACTTCCACCAAATGATGCTGAGTTAACAGATCCAGGAATCCCTGACTTACATGTTTTGGTTTCTGAAAGTGAAAGCAAACACTTCCTACAGAGAATCCCTATTTTTTGGAGCACTGTGAGAACTGGTCCTATTAACGTCAATTAATGAATTTTGACGGCCTCTTGGATGGCTTAGTCAACTATTAGGAGCTTCTGTCTTCATGTGTCTTGTCAGTATTGCTTTTCATGTTATAACTAATAGAAAAACTTAGAAAAAAATGTAAACAAGGAAATAATTGTTTCAAATAATTAAATGTTTCAAGTCTGTAACCTAGGCAGCCATACAATTCTGTTAGAATTCAGTTTCTGGGTTAAGTTTTTCTTTTTTGAAAAACTATGAACGTTTACTTTTCTGATTATAAAAATTAGAAAGTTCATTGTGTTTCTCTTCTGCCTTGACCACCAGGATGTTTGGGCTGAACTAAAGACCCATTTACAGTGAATACTTTCCTGTTTACATGTAGTCATTTCATATTTTCACAGCTTTTAGTTCATGTTGCATATGTCTATTTTATTATTGTATTTATGGGAAGAAGCAGAGAGTTCATTAATTTTAATGAGAAGTTCATTCCAAACCATTTATTTATTATGCACCCATTATATTGCCAGGCATCATTTTAGAAGATGAGGATATGCTTAAGAGATCATTTTCATGAAAGAAGTGAATGTATTTCACTGTATCCGTAAAAGGGGAGGGGGAGGGAACTGCATGTCAAACCAATGAACCAGAAGATAGAAATTTAAAGATGTTCCTTAAAAGAAAAGCCTGCCAACATCAATTCAGGCCCCTGGAAGAGTTCAATTAATACAGTGAGTGTTGATAACTTCTGACAGTTGCTTTCTTGGATATGGAAAACTGGTTCCTTGCTGTACAACCTCTTCTCCAGGGTCCTACAATAAAGCCGTCTTCATCTCTAGCAATGTGTGCTGAGCACTCGCGGCCACTAATGCAGTCCTGAAATAAAAGCTTTTAAACAAATTGCCCCTTCACAACACAGATCAGCCTAAACACTGAAACTTTCAGGAAGAGGAGTTGGGGAATCTTACATCTCCTCCCTTGGAGTCTCAGATTTAAGTAGCACCTAGTTGGAGGGCGGGGGGCATAAACATGATACACATTGTGTGGCTAACCTGGCAAGAATACTTGCTAAAAGGAAAAGCAGCTCTGTTTCAGAGATGATTTCAAGGCTGGTGGGCCTTGCTTTCAGCTTTGTGTTGCTTTAGTGGCTTGCAAATTTGTGTCACACAATGACCCTAGACTGGCCTGCCTGCTGCCAGCCTGATGTTGAGAAAGGTATTGAAATTTACAAGGATCTTGCCCTTGGCCTCCACTCCCAGGGCGCAGCATTCTCTCACATTTTAAGGGGTGCCTGTTCACAATAGCCTGTAGTCTGGCAAGACAGTTTAACAAGGGTGCCTACAGATCCGCACGTGCTTATCACCTGCCTGGTAATTGCAAATAAACTAGCTCTGTTTGCCCTCCCTCTGCAAGAAAAAGCCTTGTCAATAATTGCATTTCAAAGGGTGTCAATAATTGCATTTCAAAGGGTGTAAAACATTAGACTTCTCAGTTTGAACTGTGTACCTTTAGAACTCTTAGACTAGCCTAAAGTTCTCTAAACAACACAACTGCCCTTACTCCATTGAAAAACTAAGTTAAATTTTTTAAACGTTATCATGCCTTGATGACTCTGCACCAAGCAAACACTGTTTTTAAGTAATTGTACTTCGTGTTTTTTAAGGAATTGTAAACAGCATCTCAAGGACTCAGAAGAAACAGCAAATAAATGTAACAACTAATGTTGAAAAAAACAAACAAGCAAACAAAAAACCACGGTATTCTGATAAGCACAGAAAGCAGCCTAAGAAATTAAAGAAACAAAAAATTTCCCATTCATCTCCCAAATTCTGCAAGGGAATTTTTAGACTCGCGGCAAAGAAATCATTTCATTAGTTTGTGGAATAAAACTCAAAATGTGTGGGAAAGAAACAAAGCTTGGTCAAGATCGCCAAACTTATCAATGTAAGGGGGGAAACCATTTCGTAATAAATGAGTCGTTGTCCAAACCAACCGAACCTGATCCCTCCGGATCTCTGCTTTCTTCATCTCTTTCTCATGTTAAAAATCATAAAAGCACCGAACAGGGACGAATTTCGGGAATGCGATTGAGTCTCCCTCTCAGATCCTTTAGATCTGTTGCCCTGGTCTTTCTTTCCTAATGGCATTTCGTTTCTAGGACAGTCCCTCCTCCTGGTAGCTATCGGTCTAATTATCACATTGTTCAAATCTTCCAAAGAGAAAGAGAGGAAAGAAAGGCCATTTGCTGTGCGCACTGACATCTTTTCTTCTACACTGGTGCTTGGTAAAGCCTTCCGGCAACTTTCCCTGAAAAAAAAGATGTCACTGAGGGGCAATGAGGCTTAAAGTTCCTCGGTCCCCTCGGCCTGTTCTCCCCGCTTACGCCATCCAGTACCTCCCCACTTCATCCCCTCTTCAAGCTTCTCTCTCTCTCTCTCTCTCTCTCTCTCTGCTAAAGCGCTTTCAAGAGTTTCCTCTGATTCTCGCTCTGACCCAGACCAAGGACCCGACACAGACAGGACGCCCAAACGGAGGCAGGCAATTGGGATACTTGAAAATAACAGCTATAATGGAAAAAAAAAAAAATCACTCTAATTGAGATTATTTTTAAAATAAATGAGTATATTTTAGGCAATATTTAAAATGTTGTCTTCTGCCATATTCATTCTTTACAAACATAACGTTTACTGTGCAGCAGGCACTAATCTAAAAGCTTTAAGTATATGACAGACACTCTTTGCTTAAAAAAACATTTTAACCAACATTAATTCGTGTGTGCTTTCGAAATTCCCTGTTATTTTTTTATGACACAGTACAGCGGTTAAGTTTTCAAAGACAAATATGGAAAACTTTATCCAGTTGCTACTTTATTACAAGCAAATCATTTCCTGCTGCAATTTTTCGCAGTCCTTGTAATTAAATACATTAGTATGGTGAGAAACCTGTTTTGTTTTGTTTTCTTCTCAGTGATGTTTTCAGGTTTTGCCTCTGGCGTTTGGAAGCTCCCACTAATTTGCTCGCGTGGCAAATGTTAATTGCACATGTGGGCTTTCGCTTTCGGGGGGGAAAAAATGCACTAGTCGGCAAGAGCTGGGAACACTGATCTCTCACGCCTGCCGGGTGCGTCCACCTGTAGCGGGGACCGCCCTTGAGCTGGGAAATGAGGCCTGGAACCCACGAGGTGTAGGGATCACTGTGGGCTGGATTACCGGTGCGGAAGCAAGGGGCGCACAGGGGTGCAGACCCGCTTGGCGAAGCGCAAGCAGCCTCAGGCCGCCTGCGCAGCGGTGGGGCAGAGGCCCGCAGCCCGAGGGTGACCAGGCACCCATTTGGAGGCTGACTCCGGAGCTGGGGAGTCACAGCGACCCACCGTTCTGCGGTCCAGCGCTGACCCATCCCGCCTCTCCAAGCCCCGCCCGGTCCCCGCTGATCCTGTGATCTGCTCGGGCTTAAGTTTCAGAAGTCAGGATGGAACGTTTCGGATTTCTGTTCACACGGTTATTGAAGGCCCCGCGGTGGGGACCACACAAAAGAGAGCGGGGAGCGTGGGGAGGGGCTTTGTGTTTTAACACCACGCTAGCTGCAGGTCCTTGGCGATGCCCTGTCTCCTTCCCGCTCTCCCTCCTTCCAATTTGGCCTGCCAGAGTCTTTTTGCTGTCGCGTCTTTCCCTCGTATCCTTTCCCGCCCCATCGGCCTCATGTGACAGAAAATGGAGTGTCAAAGGGATGCCCTAAACAGATGCCCAAAAAGATGCATCTGTGCGTGGCGCAGGGTCATGAGGATGGATGCATGCCTTTCTCAAAGCTTTTTTTCCACCAAGCACGGAGCTGGCTCAAATCAACGTGTGGAACCTCCCGGTGGACCCCAATCAACAGCCGCCCGCCGCCCCGCTTGGCAGCGCCCGGCGGGGCCGCTCCTCCCGCTCGGTCCCGCTCACTTCCTGACCCGGCAGAATCGCGTCGGCGGAGCGGGTTCAAAAGTCCCACCGAGCACCGGAAGAGCCAGCTGCCAGAAAACAAGGTCTGAAAGCACAGTTAGACAACCCTTGTGTCCGTGCACTAAGAAGGACAATGACTGGGCACTTTGCAAACAAACATGCAATGTCCAAATCTTCACGTTCCGGAAGCTAAAGAACTCTGCGGCTACAACTGCACATTCCTGGGAGATTGCAGGGGAGACTGGGGCATTAAATTTGGATAACCCAAGCCCAAGACGCTCAAACTTGAAAACCTACTCAGATTGTGTCCTGGAATCCCCGCCTCATTGCACACTGGAGCAGACACCACTCCAGCCCACGGTCTGCTCCGAGGGTCTATTCCCACAATCAGGGTGGCCAAAGGCAATGAAATGGCCGAAGGGCGATAGCTCGGACCCGCACCGGGCCGACCTCCAGCGGCTAAGCACCTGGCCTGGGAAGGAGAACTGCAGAAGTAGCCTCCGGAGTTGGCAGGGTGAAAAGTAACTTTGATTTGAGGTTCTGAGCACCCCCTCCCCCCAGGGCCAATGTGACCGCTCGGTCTGCCAGTCAGCAGCTTTGGTCCAGACAACGGACGGCCGAGCCGGGCGATGGTTCAGCCTCGCTGTCTCCCGACGTCACACACGCTTGCTCGCACTCTGCCACGCGCTTGCGGTTATTCTTTAAACCCAGGACCGAAACTCCGCTGAAGAGACGCCTGCGGAGTAGAAGGACCCGCCCCACACCCGGTCCAGAACCGGCGTCTCGCCCGCCTGCTTGGCCTCCGGGTTCCCAGGTGCGCGGCCGCGTTCCCACGCCTCTGAGGGTGCCTGGCAGCGGACATTGGTCAGCGCAGCCCCGCCCCCGAGTCTCAGCCAATAGGAACCCATACCGCCCCCAAGGAGGCGGGGCCTGTGGGGCGGAGCGCTGGGGGCTGGCGAGCGCCGGGGGGCGTGGCCGGCGCCGGCTCCTGCGGCGGAGGAGGCTTGCGGCGTGGGAAAGAGCTGCTAGAAGCCGACCGATCTGCCGCGGGACCCGCGCCTGCCCGGCCCCGGGAGCGAGGAGGGAGGAGGCCGGCGGGGAGCGCTCTTCGCCCGGCTTGGCGGCGGTGGCTGCGCGGTCCTCGGCGCGATGAAGCGTCCGTGCGAGGAGACGACCTCGGAAAGCGACATGGACGAGACCATCGACGTGGGGAGCGAGAACAATTACTCTGGGTAAGCGCCTCGGGTATCCGGGAGCTTTCGGCGGGAGCAGCTCCTGAGAAAACCCGAGGTGGAGGAGAGAAAGTTGTGGGGGAGGACCGGGTGCTCGCAGAACAGGAGTCAGGGTGGGGCGGGAGATTGGGTTCGCACGCTGGTGGTGGGACGGAAAGGAAGGGGGGTGCCACTGAAAAAGGACAGTGCAGGAGATGGCGAAGCACGGTCCCTGGATGTCAGCGCTGGGCGCCCGGAGAGGCGCCGCGGGCGACGCCTCCACCACTGGAACTGAATTTAGGGACACTTCCAAAATAGACCAGGAAAAGGGGGCAAGAAAAAAACAAATGGATTTCTATTTTGAGAGAGGCTGAGGACACGATTTGAGTTTTGAAGAAATTAAAGCGATCTGCCTGTTTAAGGCTGAGCTGTGCAGGTTGACTGAGTGTGAGCTAGCTAACCCACCAGTGAGAGACACATGGTACGAGGTGGGTGGGGCATCGTTTTTGTGTTTTTGGGTATTTTTTGTTTTGTTTTTGTTTGTTTTGTTTGTTTCCCTTTTTTTGACCGCTTTTTCTTAAGTCTGAAGAAGATTGGAGTCGTGATCACAGAAGCCAGACCTCCAGGTTCCTGTCCCAGAGAGACATTACCCAGGCATTTTAGAGCCAAGGCAGGTCAAATGATAATTGCTTCTAATTGGCATCCCCAGAAGCACCTTAATTATTTATCTGAAGCTGTCACTCAAAGAGCAAAATCCTCCCTGCCTTTGGAAAACTGGTTTTATTTCCCGGGCTTATTTTAAGACATACAAAGCAAAGCCTGAAAATAGCAAGAGCAAAGACGCATGAAATGTTTACCAAGTATCTCAGTGTTGAAGTATATCGTCTTAAAAAAAAAAAAATGGAAACACAAGGGTGCCACGTGTAAGATGAAACCTGTAGAGAAGGGCCAAGAGTGAAGGGGACAGTTAACTCAACAAGGTCCAGAAATGAGAAGGTGAAGTAATGGGAACCTGGTGTGCACAGCACTTTTTCTAAAAGAAAAGAGAACAAATAACAGGACCTGGAGATTTGAGGCCCTAAGGAAGTACAGTATCCGTGAATTACCAAACTAAAGAGATACAGCTAGAAAAGAGATTAGACGTTATGTGACCAAAGTCATTTAACTGAACTTGCAGTTTAAAAATATCTTTTCATTAGTAAAATTGAAACGGATCATAGCTTCTAGACATTTAAGCTTAGTTTGAAGGCTGAGAGACACTATGATTTCATTTGCAAAGTACTGACCTAGAACTAAACCAGATAATAATTTCTCAACCAATAATATTTAGGATATTCTTTTAGAAGGTTAGTATGAAAAATTCAAATCTACCTTTTTCTGTTGTTTAATTGACCAATTGAAATTTTAGAAATCTACCTTTTTCTGTTGTCTAATTGACCAATTGAAATTTTAGAATGGTAAAATAACTTCTGTTTATTTTAAAAGTTGCATCTTGGGGCTGGAGAGATGGCTCAGCGGTTAAGAGCACGGACTGCTCTTGCAGAGGACCTGGGTTCAATTTCCAGCACCCACATGGCAGCTAAAATCCGTCCTTAACTCCAGTTCCAGGGGAATCCAAAGCCTTCTTCTGACCTCGGCAGCACTGCATGACACTGGTGCACTCACATACATGCAGGCAATACACTCATACACATAAACTAAAAATAATAAAATATTTAAAAGTTGCATCTTGGAACAAGTTTGACATGGGATGACTGTGAAAGCAATGTTCATATATCAATTTGTTCAGTGACAGAGTAGGAGGGATGCTATCAGAGGCAATATGTTGGCTTTTAAGAAACAAACACACACACACACACACACACACATACACACATGGGGAAAGAGGACATTATATGTGACTTCTCATCCTAACTTCCTAATTGCCCATCATTACTTCATTGGGAGACTCAAAAGTTCAGGTTCATTTTCGCCAATTGAATTGGCAGCTAAATTACCCACCAACATTTTTTAATTTTACTTGTTTATTTGGTGTGTGGGTATAGGCAGGAGCTTGTCCTGTGTGTGTGCGCGTGCGTACGAGGTGCGAGTGTGTGTGTGCGTGTGTGTGTGTGTGTGTGTGTAGGTCAGAATACAATTTCCCAAGTGGGTTCTCTCCTTGCACTATATGGGTCCTGAGGATCAAACCGAGGTCAGGTAGCCAAGCTTTGTAGTAAGTGTCTTAACTCTGCTGCTTTATCTCAAGGGTCCCACTAACATTCTTTTGAAATGCACAGTTCCTACCTGGAAAGGGCTGAAAGCAAAATCTGTTAAAACTGAAGTATAGATAGATGATGATGATAGATAGATAGATGATAGATAGATAGATAGATAGATAGATAGATAGATAGATAGATAGATAGATAGATAGATAGATAGATAGATAGATAGATAGATAGATAGATAGATAGATAGATAGATAGATAGATAGATAGATAGATAGATAGATAGATAGATAGATAGATAGATAGATAGATAGATAGATAGATAGATAGATAGATAGATAGATAGATAGATAGATAGATAGATAGATAGATAGATAGATAGATAGATAGATAGATAGATAGATAGATAGATAGATAGATAGATAGATAGATAGATAGATAGATAGATAGATAGATAGATAGAATTACATAGATATGAACTCTGCAGTCACTCTGAATATTTAGTGAGTGCCATGAAGTACCCAAGGGGAAAAAAAAGAAAAAAACAATTGCTATGCTGGCACACCTGACGTAGTCTTCCTGTTTCACAGGCAAAGTACAAGCTCTTTGATGAGGTCGAATTCTCCAACAACCACCTCTCAAATTATGGCAAGAAAAAAAAGGAGAGGGGTAGGTGATTTTCCCCCACTTTTATGGAATGTAATTTAGCCTACTTTGTCACTGCTGTTGTTTTCCCATTATGAATAATTTTATCAGTTATGTATTCAACTTTTGTTTTGCTTTCTTTGAAATAGATCATAGAGAAAAGACGTCGGGATCGGATAAACAATAGTTTATCTGAGTTGAGACGGCTGGTGCCAACGGCTTTTGAAAAACAAGTGAGTTGCCCTTCTTCTCCCCCACCCATAAACAGCTCAAAGAATCTACTGCTCTCATCTGGGAATGTGGGTTCTTGTTAAAGCTCATTAAAATAATGGTGTATGTGCCCTGATCTGGCACAGAGCAGCCATTTCAATAAAATGCTTTGTTGTGGCAAAACTATTAAAAACATAATCCATCATGAAGTTGAAAAACATTTCCATTCTTTAGCTTATTTTCCCCTTAAGGGTAACAGTGTTCATGCTTTCTCTGTTCTTTCTATGAATACCAGTAGTGGTTTTGTTTAAAACCGTGTTGTGTGTCTTATTCTTTTTTTAAAAAAAAAAAATTGTATCATATATGAAATATCATTTTTTCCTCAAACTTTGAAAGTACTTTTTTAATTAAAGAAATCAAAGTCAAAAAAGTAACATTCTTATTTCTGTTTCCTAAATTATACTAATGCAATTTATTTAGCAAGCCACTTGCTTTCGTTTTTATTTCTTGCATTAAAAGAATGATGTTTGATTTGGGGCATATTTTGGAAGTTTGGTAGAAATCAAATTAGTCATAAATGCTGCTTTTCAGAGTTCAAGTATTCCTTTGGAAGAAAAATAAAAGATATTGAACATTTAGAAAAAAAGAGCACCAACATGCTTAAATCTTCCTTTGTGGTTGTAGAAAAGTCTGGTTTCTGCCTCAGTGGCTAATGGCAGGGATTTCTAAGAGCATCCTTCAAAGAATGTAGCACCACGTCCTTGTTGAAATGTTTTCAGTTGAATTCCAAATAGGGTGCAAAGCTGCAGTTAGCTGTTTATCCCATTTTTGTTGTTGTTGTTGTTGTTTACTTCATGAATCTGCAAACATTATAAAACAAACCCTACAAAGCCCTTGGAGACTGTCCAGAACTGCAGTTTACTTATTAGTCACTTTCACTGCAACTGCCTGTAGGTCTTCATGGGCACACTGAACAGTGACAAGTACTGGACACAATATGCTATTGGTTTTATGTATTTAAAACAAAAAAAGATACTATGTGTTTATGTGCTTAGCTGTCTTTGATAACCTACAAATACTGGAATTATACTTCTGATAGCATTTTCAATGACAATGGCAGCAATCTATGATGTCTTTTTATACTTTTGAGTATTGAAATGTAAAGTTATGAGAAGCAGTCTCTTTGACTTTTTTTTTCCCCTTAATCTTGGTTTGTTAGACCTTTTTTTCTTAAATGTTGACTTACAACAAACCTTAAGATCAAACCTCAGTTGTTTGGCAGTTACCATAAACACAAGCTTTCCCATTTACAGAGTTTGGCTGCCAACCCTAGTGAGCTGGCTCTGTCACAATCTGAGCAGAAGAGTATTCTTTAGAGCAGTTAAATAACTCTGACACTCTTGCCATGTATTGGGTACTAATAATTGGGGGGCCAAGAGGGGAGGGAAAAAAACAAAACTGCCAAACATAGGAATCTGGAATAAACTTCTGATCCTATTCATGAAAAAAAAAAAAAAAAAAAAACCCACATACTGGTTTAATTATTTAGCCCTTCCAGAAGTTAGAAGCCACCCACAGCCCCCTGAGACAGTGTAAGCAGAGCATTTGAGTTTCAGTTGCTTTCCAGAGGTTGACTTTTAAAACATTAATTATTTTCCTTTTTCTGAGATAGGGTCTCCCTGTAGCCCCAGCTGACCTGGAACTCTATATAGACCAAGCTGGCCTCTTATCTCATATAGATTCCCTGTCTCTGCCTCCAGAGTGCTAGGATTAAAGCATGGGCCACCATGCCAGGCTTAGTTGCCTTATTTTTTAAAAGGAGACAACAAAAATGTGCTTGTAATAATATTTTATTGAGTTTTGAATGATTCAAATTCCTTGTGATTGTATGATGCTCCTTAAATAAACTATAATAAATTACTCCCTTTTGTTTGTGATCTTGGAATTCATAGTGACACCTGCTGGTAACCTTGAAGATCTTTCTCTTTTTTTCCTGTTTACTGGTGGTACTTATGAATTATCTTAAAGACATTAGAATTTTCCACCTTTTGAATAATCTCCTTTTGATTTTCCAAAATTCTGTCTTTTTCCAGAATTAATATTCAACTGTTTAACTGATCTAGACTTCAACATTAATGACTATTGAATGTTCCTTAATAAAATATATGATTAATCAAGGTAGAGATTGAACACAAAGTTTGAGATCTTTACAATTGGCACAGTTTTTGTGGAGTGATATTAGGAATATAATTGTTCTTATAATTTAAGAAATCTTCCAGGCCAACTGGGGCTACAAGGAGATCCTGTATCAAAAAGATAACAATAATAATAATAATTTAAGAAATCATTTCTTTGATGCCTTGTTCTGGTCTTTAAAAGTTAAAGTGACAAGTTCCTGCTGTCAGGTATGTCATAATAATTAGTTCTTTCACATAAACTTCAGAAAGAATTCAGGTTTTTCTGTGAAGAAACTAAAATATAGAATCTTCTAATGAAAGGCAAAATTGAAACTATCAAACTCAATTTAGTATGGGAAGTTCTAAGTTAATTTCTGTAGCACTTAGGACTTGTTTGTCTCTGAAGGGGTCTGCAAAGTTGGAAAAAGCTGAAATCTTGCAAATGACAGTGGACCATCTGAAGATGCTTCAGGCAACAGGGGGTAAAGGTAAGAGGTGGTGCCATTCTTTACCTTTTCTAACTCTCTTTATCTTTTCCCTCTAATATTGTAAGGAAGTCATAGTTGAACAGCTCTCTAACAAGCTGACATAGGTGGCCGCAGATTAAAGCCCTGGAAATCAATGCTAATGGCAGGATTGAACTCGTGGGAAAGAAGTTTTGGAACAAAAGAAGCACTTGACCCTGGACCTGTGTTTGCTTTCGTAATACTGTGGGACTAAAGTTTCTTTCACAGAAGCTTAATCAGAGATTTGTTTGGGATTTGAGAAGCACATGCTAGAATCTGAACAGAAACAAAACAAAACAAACAAACAACTAAATATAAACAAGGCTACAAGTTCTCTCTCTCTCATTAAATCAAAGCTAGGGTTTAAATATTTAACTAGTCAAAGGAAATGACTCTGAAATTATTTTTGTCATTGTTCCTGAGACCCTTGGCTGGTCTTCACTTTACAGCAAACATAACATTTAAAGTAAAGGCAGTGAGTCTTCATACTAGAAACCATAAACAGAGAAAACTATTCCTGGAGAGAGCAGACAGGAGCAGATGTCCAGGCCCAGCCCCATGTTGTGACAGGATGCCCTCTGTACTGGGCAGTACCATAGGGAAGAATTGTGGGGGGTTAGAGAAGGACCCTCATCTCATGCTAAAAATAGATGAAACACTAAAAACTGTGATATTCACTCAGATTTCATTGTCCCCCTTTTTCACACTTCACCTGGACTTGATCTTGTCTTGTAGGAGCTTTGTCACTTTACAAGGATGTCTTTGGTAATCATCTCAGCCTAGTGTGTTTTTCAGTATATTTCTCAATGAGTAAAGAGAAGGTACCATGAGGAGTTAGCTCTGCAACTAAATACTTGAGGCGCCCTGTGCTCAGTAGTAGTCTTCTGTTCCACAGCATATGAGTCCTAGATCAGGACAAGGCGGGGAGAAAATTGGAGAACTGATAGAACATCAGATTTGACCCTAATCACCTTCTACCCACGTCAGGTAGGGGGTGATCACTGCATGATAGGATGGGAGGCCCATACTTGCCACAGGTCACAACCTCCCAAGAAACTGTCTTGAATGAACAAAGAGAGAGTAGCTTAGGATGCAGAATATTCTTATGGAATAAAGGACAACTGAATGAAATCTTGGAAGTCAATAATCCAACTCATCATGGCCACAACATTTGACCTGAGTCAGAAGTAACTTGCTGTTCTTTGAGGCTTAAATTAGCAGGATGTGCTCTTCAGACCCAGCAGCACTGTGACTGCCTCTACACCTGCCACTCTGGAATTTCAGGAAGCCAATGGAGTCAGATATGGCACAAGGAAAGTTACGTGATTGATCTCCCCTCCTGGGCTTTGGTACACATAAGGCTGAGAATTGCTTTCAGAGTCTCAAACATTTGGCATGAGCTATACTTCTAAAAAGTAAGATTGTTTGGCTTTATAATAAAAGATATTAGTTTCATCTGGCTTAGTGGCACAGGCCTTTGATCCCCTACTCAGAAGGCAGAGGTAGACATATCTCTCTGAAGTCAAGACCAGCGCAGTCTACGAAGCCAACCAGTGCCTACATAGTAAGCCCATTTCAAAACAAATACAAACACACGCAAGAGTTTCGTCCTGGTTACTGTTCTTGGCTCCTCGAACAGTACTAGAATTCATCCTAGAACAGTTAGTGTGCAGATATTTCCAAGTAGGTGCCATGCAAGTCACCTGACTACTGGGTCACTGGAGGGGTCAACCCACAGAAAAATGTGTAGACCTTGAAGAGAGGGGTGGCAGTGTGTGTTCACATGCCTAGACTCCCAACGGCCTCTAGTGTAGTGGCAAAGGGCATTGGAGTCCAGCTCAGCTGCCTGATTGTGATTTCTAGCTGCCATTTATTAGCTGTATGAGCTGAGGTAAGTTACTAATTCTCTCTGAGGCCCAGTTTCATCATCTGAAAAATGAGGACAGTGATGGTATCTACCTTACAGGTGGCTGTGAATTAATTCACTTGAAGCCTATAGAATGGTGTTAGCACAGAGGGAGTGGTTACAGACACGTGTGTTATTGCTGGCCAAGACCCACTCACAGGAGACAGCTGCTCTCTATCATTTCCCTCTGCTTCCTACAATAGGACAGGAATTACATAATTCATATGCTTTAAGATGCAACAAGACCCAGACATACACAGCCACATAGCTTGTCAACCACAAATGTCACTTGCTTCACAACCAGTAATGAAAATTCCTAGAGCTCCCGAGGCTCCAGTCGCATTATTCCTTTCTGTCTGCCATAGGATCGTCATAGTTCTAGAGAGAACCCTAAATTCCTAAGTCCTTCAATGTTTCTGGACACTGTCCTCTCTAATCACTACCTGTCTCCTTCTCTTGTGTAAGTCAGACGCTCCAGCCTCACTGGAGACCCTAAAGACTGACATGCAGAATCTTTCTGTGAGACATCCTCTTCAGAAAGAACTTTACCTCCTAATCCTGGAGGCTTTGTTTTCTGACCATGCCAGGGTCTGGGGATGGAAACTAGTTTTACTACTGATATTCTACCTTCCATGATATTCTCTCATTCAACTTAGTGCTGTTGTTTCCGCTTTACTGATGATTATATTCACCCCAAACCTTTTTCTAAATTACTCAATAAATGTAGCAACTGTTTTCCAAAGTGCTTTCATTATAAATTAAGTAATCTAAAGAAAATAGGCAAACTTTACTTTGCAAAAGCATAAAATGATATATCTTAAGTGCATTGGATGAAAATGGCCTAATTTGGGCTTGTGGGGTAACTCTATGATAGAATGCTTATGCAGAATGCATAGGAGTGGGGCTCAGTCTTGGTTATAGCTTGTAAATTACCACCTCTGTGAGACTTTCTCTATTTCCATCAAAAATTTTGCTGAGGAAAGTCATTATCTCCCAATTCTAAAATTAAAATACCCCCTAACCCCCAACCCTGGGGGTAGTTGAAACAGGAATCTTCTGAGATTTCTTTCCCCTTTATGACTTTTGAATCATCAACTGTGACCTAGTGCATAGCTAAAATTGTCAGGGTGCCTGCTGCAGAGTCCCCTTTCTTTACTCCTGAGAAAATCACCAGCATAAGCAGCGGGCTGTATTTTCAGGAGGTTCATTTGACCTGTATCTTCCGGAGGGCAGAGTAGAACGTCAGTGGGAGGCGATCCTCAGAGTGGTGTCATCTCTCCTTTCTCACCCTCTCTCCTATTCAACTCAACCCTCCTTTAGGCTACTTTGATGCCCATGCTCTTGCCATGGACTTCATGAGCATTGGATTCCGAGAGTGCTTGACAGAAGTGGCCAGGTACCTGAGTTCAGTGGAAGGCCTGGACTCCTCAGATCCGCTGCGTGTGCGCCTTGTCTCTCATCTCAGCACCTGTGCCTCCCAGCGGGAGGCAGCAGCCATGACGTCCTCCATGGCCCACCACCACCACCCCCTGCATCCACACCACTGGGCAGCGGCCTTCCACCATCTGCCTGCAGCCCTGCTCCAATCCAATGGACTCCATGCATCGGAGTCAACCCCATGCCGCCTCTCCACATCTTCAGAAGTGCCTCCTGCCCATGGCTCTGCCCTGCTCACGGCCACATTTGCCCATGCAGATTCCACCCTTCGGATGCCATCAACAGGCAGCGTCGCGCCTTGTGTGCCACCTCTCTCCACCTCTCTTCTGTCTCTCTCGGCCACTGTGCATGCCGCTGCAGCAGCAGCCACCGCAGCAGCACATAGCTTCCCTCTGTCCTTTGCGGGGGCCTTCCCCATGCTACCCCCCAATGCAGCAGCAGCAGTGGCAGCAGCCACAGCGATCAGCCCTCCCTTGTCAGTGTCTGCAGCTTCCAGTCCTCAGCAGACCAGCAGTGGAACAAACAGTAAACCTTACCGACCCTGGGGGACAGAAGTCGGAGCCTTTTAAGTTATCCTTGAACTGCTTGCAGTAGTAACTGAATGTCCTTCATTTCAGTCAGCTTCAAACCTCCGCACCCTGAAGGTAGCCATACAGATGCCTACAGATCACACAGAAACACTAAAGCTATTTGAGAAGCAAGCTTCACAAGTGGAAATGTGGTATTACCTTCCCCCCCTCCTCCTTAAGGCAGCTTGGTAACTGACATCAGCAACTTTTTGAAACTACACACCTATTTCCATTTATTGTTTTCTGGAAATTACATGAATGGCACTGTCAAGTGGTGCATCAATATATATCTGACTTAGAAAGAAAATTGCCATAGCTGAATGTTCTTCGAACTAGAAGGGAGAAAAAAAAAATACCATGTTTTATAAGTGCCTGAGCTAAGGAAGATTTTCTTCTAAACATGTGAGATTGCACAAGTACAGAAGGGCTTAGCCCTTAGTTTAAGAAAGGGAGGGAACAGACAACTTAGACTGCAGACAAGCAATGCAGTAGCAGGATAATCTGTTCTGTTGAAACCAGGTTTTATCGATCAAAAAAATTGCTGAAAATGATTAAGCTGAAAGACATAGTTTTATATTAGTTTGCTTTCTTTGTGCAGACTTGCCACGCAGTGACATTTAACAATGCATTGTTGTAAGCAATAATGCCATTAGTGCCCGTGTTAACAAGCATTTCTGCTCAGCCTTCAAGCCCACAGACACTCTTGTGAGGACTGGGGCATGGTTTAAAACATGGTGCTTCTTTATATAAACTTTGAGCTGTACAGTGCACCTAGAAGCAGTTGCCTACTGTGTGCCCACCAGAGGCTAATTCATGCCAACTTGAAAACTCTCCAGTTTGCAAGACGTTGGATTTATTTATTCAGTTTCATTTGGACTATTTTTATATATTTATCCTCTTCATTTTCTCCTGATAACATGTAGCATCTGTTCTTGTCCCTTTTGGGGTGATGTTGCATATCTGAAGGTGATGAGGAGAGAGCATAGGGAAGAGAGAAGCCACACGTTTTAAATGTCCTTAGTCAAGTCAGCAATTGCATTTGATCCCAAATCACGATGAATGTATGTAATGGGGTGTACATAAATTATTTTTGTCCATGTATAGACTAGAGCTGCATAATGGTGTTTTGGTTTTGATTTTTTTTATCTTGTTTAATGACAAAATAATCTCTTAATACCTTGAAATTGAGCACATGAGATTTTATATTTGAAAGATAAAGACACAGCATGTATTCTTATGAGTTCATCTCTGCTGTGTAGAGAAAGCAATAAACATGAGAATGTTGAACATTATGCCAAGTTATACTCATAAACATTTGTTTTAAAATTACTATACGTAGTCTTTTTTGCATTACTTTGTAACCTTTTTCTATGCAAAAGAATCTACATATCACTAACTAAATGAAGCCCTTTTGACAATTTTATGTGGATTACTTGCTTTCAGAAAGTCAATGTGAGTGAGGCCTTCCTTTACCACCTCTTTAAGCCATGATTTTTCTTTATGTATTTGGAAATCATTTGACTGACAGAATTTACAACTTATTTTCAAATAACATTTGTAGAGCTTATAGATTAAAAACCTGGGTAAGACTTATGGAAGCAAAAAGTGATCATTTTCCTCTGCTTTTGGTTACTGTTTGTTTTGAGACAAGGTCTCAATGTGTAGCCCAGGCTGGCCTGAAACTTGCTATATAGCTCAAAGTAACCACAAACTCAAGATTCTGATGCCTCAGTCTCCCAACAAGTGGAAGATTGCCTTTTAATCTGAGTTATGATTCTTGGAAAGGTACAAATATAAGACTTCCAAATAAAGGTATCAGATATGGGTAATAAGCTAGAATATGTTCTATTTTGTAAATGAAAATTAAGGAGCATTTGTAGAACCTCCCATGGATGGACAATAGGTATACACATGCATCCTGAAGGGAGTCCTCTGTATATCTTTGAAAGTTTCATTAACAGCATGGAAGTGTTGTGATTGCAGTCCCCTTCTTCAAGAAAGCCTAAAATCACAGAGCTCCTAAAGCCATGGGGCCAAACAGCAGCAAAAGGATGGAAAGAAATCTTATCATTCATATCAAAATGCCCAAAGGGGAAAAGCAGAGGGGCTTTTTAACAGTGTTGGGGTTTTGAAAAATAAAGCCTATGGTTTTGTCTTCTGTCTTGTAAAGCAGTGTACCACTTCTTGGTGTGGTCATTTTCATGTACATTACTAAAATAAAAAGAATTTAGGCTCTTTAAAAATGTTTGGTGTGGGCTGGAGAGGTGGCTCAGCAGTTAAGAGCACAGGCTGCACTAGTAGAAGGCTCAGGTTTGGATCCCAGCACTCACGTGGTAGCTAACAGCCATCTGTAACTTCAGTTCCAGAGTATTGATGCCCTCTTCTAGCCTCTGTGGGTGTTATATGACATGGGTGCAGGCAAAACACACATAAGATAAAAAATAAGTAAAAATGTTTTTAAATATTTTAGGGGGAAGAACTTTTAGGGATTGATTTATTGATGGCTTTTATTTGTGTAAAAGTTCCATAATTAACTCAAAGGCATTTGAGTAGAATAAATGGGGAAAAGGGAGCAGTTTTAAAACTTGAGTTTTCCCCCAGACATCAAAAGCAGTGTGTGTGCACAGAGCATAGCATGATGTTGCATGTCAGCAGGCTTAGCATGGCAGTTCTGTGGGTCTTACTGTGCTGTAGCCTCGGGTTTTGGGTGGTGTATAGAATACATGAAAGTGGTGTTCTATGGACTGACAGTAACCATATAACTGCTGCCCTAGCTAGTTAATAGGGACCTTTGAAAGAAGGGGCCTGCTGAGATGCTGAGAGTAAAGAAAACTGGCAACCATGAGGGAATTCGTCTTGAGATCTTTGCAAATATGACATTTCCTATTGCATTTAAATAAACATGGAGAAATTTTATAGTAATGTTGAAACAACAGAAGTCTAAATATTAACTAGACCATTGCCCATCATTTCCACATGTCTGTAAGGATTATCAGGAAGCTTTGTGTTACCTTTATAATATATGTGACTTGTTCATTTTGCCCATCACTAAGTTATATCAAAGCAAGAGTAATAAACCAAGATGACGTCATCACAAAGAAATATGATTTCAGAATTCCACATCCCTGTAAGTCTAAGTCTCTGTCATTTGCTTTTGGCTTAAGATCAATTTTTAAGGAAAAGGAGCCTCTACAATATAAACTTTATAGATTGATCGTAAAATAGCCTAATTGCTAAAATAAAGTTGTAAAAAAATGCATCTTGGATTTGAGGCAACACATGAACACTACTACTAATGAATATAATTTTAGCATTCACAGCTAGTAAGGCTACTTTAGTGTACCTTTAAAGTGCCCCACTAGGTAGCACAGAGGACTTCTCAGAAAATCTAGATTGAATGTGTAAGCTTAGTGGTCTGAAGATGATTTTGCTGTTTTAACTGTCCAATGGGACAACTTCCGGTTATTCTGTTGCAGTATACTGAAGAATGGAGTTTGACTTCCCCTCAGCAATGACTGAGGTTGTGACTATTTCAGCAGCAACAACAAATCATTACAGCAAACCTGACATCTTCAAACTGTGACTATAGCTCATATTCCTTGGAAGGATACATCTTTGACCTTCAATGAGATATAAAAGAAAAAAAGCACCTGCATTAGCATAGGCGATCTGATATAAGGACAGATCTTATGAGAAGAACTCCCTAGGCACCAGGTGGTACTTTCTCTCATATCCTCCTCACTTCTGACCTCAAAGGCAATGAGAATTGGACCTGCTAGGGAATCAGGTCTTTTGCTGTATAACTTTTGAAAGCAGGACCACTATAAGACAAGGCTAGAAAGAAATTCATATACAGCTCTAATAGCTATTAAAATCATTTTCTATGCCTAAGCCTCATGCTAAATCTTCAAAATCTATTTCCTCATCAAGCCCCGTACCTGTCCTATAGAGTTCACAACACCATACTGACATCGTAGGATTGGAAAATGAGATTATTGTCCAATACCATACCTATCAGGTTGACTTTGAGTCACTGTGGACCTGTTTAATTCTTCCGCCCATATTTCCAATCTCTAGGCTATGGCCTAGAGACTCAAAGTCTTTTGGACTCAAACTCATCCAGAATCTCCAAGATATCAACGCACCTGGAATCACTTGGAATTAATAGCAGAAGTAAGTCTGCCTATAGAATTAACATGAAACAACCACCATCTCTCCTTTTAGTTGATGAAAGAATGGAAAAAGGAATGATAATGTTTCATAATATCCAAAGTTATTCCATAATAAAATATAAAAGAGAAATTAACAAATGTCTAGTTTGTTCTTTCAAGCAGAGCATACCTATCTAGTAAATTTGCCCTCTGCACAAGACACCAGAAATTTCTACTATCTTGATAAGTGGTTAAGAAGGCTCAGGCAGAATGGTGGAGAATTAAAAAAAGATGCTAAACAAATTGAGATTGAAAAATAAAACCCTCTATTCCACTGGATGCAAAAGATACAGAGACTTTGTGTGAATGCTTTGAAGGGCCATGCTGAATTATTCATAATATTTATGTATTCTAGGTCCACAAACTCACTGAACAAATCTTCATTTGGCCTGTGGTGACCTGCCCCAGTAGAAACCAATTCATCTTAACAATTCTCATTACCAGGAAAAGTTTAAACTAACCTAAGCTCTTCACCCTAGAGTTAGAAATGTTTTCTTTGGTGGTTAAGAGTTAATATGTATGGGGCTGGAGAGATGACTCAGCGGTTAAGAGCACTGACTGCTCTTGCAGAGGGCCTGGGTTCGATTCCCAGCACCCACATGGTGGCTATGAACCATCCTTAACTCCAGTTCCAGGGGACTCCAAAGCCCTCTTCTGACCTCTGCAGCATTGCACAATACAGGTGCACTCACATACGTGCAGGCAATACACTCACACACATAAAATTTAAAAAAATAAAATATTTTTAAAAAGAGTTAATACGTATATGTAACATTTAAACATCTTACCCGGGAGACAGCCTTCCATTAACTATTTGGTTTGTTTGACCTCTGTTTCCATTCTTCCAGCCTGTGGTTATAATGAGATTATTTCATACAAAAAAATGGTATATGCCTATAACAGAAAGTATGACAAA